CCGCCCGAGTCTGTGTTTTCGCTAAAAAGGTATTTAGTGCGGACAGGCGTTACCGGAATATTTTATAATACGCCTTTTTTCTGGTGTTGTTTGACATTTCATATTAAATTAAACACACTCCTTAAAGAACTCGTAGCATTGATTTGAGGTGTTTTATTTTTTTCAAGACCACCACAACATAACTCGTTTTTTAAATAAATTCGTTGTTTTTATTTTAATTTTTGGCGTGAATATTCATCGTGCTTTATTTTTGCTTCCCGAGTCAAATTGACGGTAAATTTTTCTCCATATACTTATTTAAAAAAAAATTTAATAAACCTCTTTAATGTATTGCAGCTTCCTACATCATCATTTTTTTTTACTTTAATGTTGATTAAATTTTCTTCACCACCTCTTTTGCTATAATTTCAAAGTTCGTTTCAAAATTTCTTGTTGAAGTGGTTACTGGAACCCTTTCTAATCATTTTAAATAAATTTTGTGTTTTCTTAAAGTTTCAAAATTTGCAAAATTCGAAAATTCACGTTTTCCATGCATGTTCTGTCATTGTCTTGATTCTATTAGACAATCTTCGAAATCTCAGAATTTTTGAAATTTTTAATTATTTATCACCTCTAAAAGTCACTTTTTATGTTAAAAAGCAGCAAATTATTGAACTACCAAAGTTTATAGAGTATTTAAAATTCCATAAAAATTCTTTGTCTATTTATTTATTTATTTATTTGTTTATTTATTTTATTTTGAAGTTTTGTTTATTCTTTACATTGCATCTGACGAAAACGGTATGCATTTGTTGATTATTGTGGTAGAAAAACGATGCCCCGCCCACCCACCCTAAACTCCGCCTTAATGATCCTTTTTATTCCTCAGGAGCTCCGGTCGAGCGAAACTTATGTGCAAATAAAATACTTTTGTAGAAGAAATTGCCCTTGAAAAGAGACTATTCTAAGAAAAAACATTAAACCAACAAGCCCCGCCTACTCACCTCCTCTAACCTAAATGAGTTTGTTTATTCTTCCTGAAACGAGAGGCGGAGCTTAATTTCAAATGAGGTTTTTTTATAAAAATGCTTAAATGTATTTTGAACACATTTTAAGTACCTGTTCATTGAAAATTGATGTTTTTAAGGAAAGAAAATATACGATAGTTTATTGATTACCGTGGTAGGAAGAAGATGCCCCGCCCACTCGACCTGAACTCCGCCTTAATTATGTTTTTTATTCCTCATGGGTTCGGGGCGAACGAAGCTTATACGCAAATGAAATATTTCCATAGAAAAAATATACCTTTAAAACGTATTTTAAACAATTCATTATTCAAAACAGCTTATTCTGAGAAAACTATTTAACGAAAAAGCCCCGCCCGCTCAGCTCTTTTAGCCTGAATGAGTTTGGTTATTAAACAAGAGGCGGGGCTTAATTTCAAATGAGGATTTTTTGTGGAAATATCTATATTTTAAACACGTTTTAAGGACCTATGTTCATTGGAAAGTGATGATTAATAGAAAAAAGGGTGTGCCTCTTTAATGATTACCGTGGTAAAAAACGATACCCCGCCCACCCACCCTAAACTCCTCCTTAATGATCCTTTTTAATCCGCATGAGCTCCGGTCGAGCGAAACTTAGATGCAAATAAAATAAATTTGTAGAAGAAAAGAGACTATTCTGAGAAAAACATTAAACGAATAAGCCCCGTCCAATCACCTTTTTTAGCCTGAATGAGTTTGCTTATTTATCATTAAACGAGAGGCGGAGCTTAAATTCAAATGAGGATTTCTTTGTGGAATATTATTCTAATTCTATATTCATGATTAAAGGAAAAAAGGGTGTAGCCGTTTATTGATTACCGTGGTAGAAAAAAGATGCCCCGCCCACCCGACCCAAACTCCTCCTTAATGATCCTTTTTATTCCTCATATGAAATATTTCTGTAGAAAAAATTGCCTTTGAAAACAGACTATTTTCAAGCCCAAATGAGTTTGTTTATTCATTGTGAAGCAAGAGGCGGAGCTTTATTTCTAATTTAATTTTTGTAAAAATACTTATATTTTGAACACGTTTTAAATACCACCTGTTTAATGAAAATTGATAATTTTAAGGAACAAAAATGGTGTGCCCGTTTGTTAATGGCCATAGTAAAAAAAAATACTCCGCCCACCCACCCTTAACTCCGCCTTAATAATCTTCTTTATTCCTCATGAGCTCCGGTCGAGCGAAACTTATGTGCAAATAAAATACTTTTGTAGAAGAATTTGCCCTTGAAAAGAGACTATTCTAAGAAAAAACATTAAACGAATAAGCCCCGCCTACTCACCTCCTCTAACCTAAATGAGTTTGTTTATTCATCGTAAAAGAGAGGCGGTGCTTAATTTCAAATGAAGCTTTTTTGTAGAAGTGCTTATACATATTTTGAACACGTTTTTAAGTATCTGTTCCCTGAAAAGTGATGTTTTCAAACAAAGAAAATATATCCTAGCTTTGATTACTGTAGTAAGAAAAAATGCCCCACCCATCCGCCCTAAACTCCGCCTTAATGATAATTTTTGTTCCTCATGAGCTCCGGTTGAGCGAAACGTAAATGTAACTAAAATATTTTTGTAGAAGAAATTGCCCTTTAAAAGAGACTATTCTGAGGAAAAACATTAAAAGTCCCGCCCACTCAGCTCTTTAGCTTAAATGAGTTTGCTTATTTATCATTAAACGAGAGGCGGGGCTTAATTTCAAATGAGGATTTCTTTGTGCAAATATCTATATTTTAAACACGTTTTAAGGACTTGTGTTCATTGGAAAGTGATGATTAATAGAAAAAAAGGTGTGCCCCTTTATTGATTACAGGGATAAAAAAATACCCCGCCCACCCACCCTAAGCTCCACCTTAATGATCCTTTTTATTCCTCATGAGCTCCGGTCGAACGAAACTTAGATGCAAATAAAATATTGTTGTAGAACAAATTGCCCTTAAAAAGAGACTATTCAAAGAAAAGACAATAAAAGCCCCGCCCACTCACCTATTTAGCCTACATGACTTTGCTTGTTAAGGCGGGGCTTAATTTCAAATGAGGATTTCTTTGTGGAAATATCTATACTTCTATATGTTGAACAGGTTTTAACGATCTGTATTCATTGAAAAGTGATGATTAAAAGAACAATGGGTTTATTGATTACGGTGGTAGAAAAAAGATGCCCAGCCCACCCGACCCAAACTCCTCCTTAATGATTCTTTTAATTCCTCATGAGGTCATCACGAACGCCAATGAAATATTTTTGTAGAAGAAATTGCCTTTAAAACTCATTAGTCATTATTGAAAACAGACAATTTTGAGCAAAACATTAAACGAATAAGCCCCGCCCACTCACCTCTTTTAATGTAGATGAACTTGTTTATTCATTGTGAAACGAGAGGCGGAGCTTAATTTCAAATGAGGTCGACCCAAACTCCGCCTAATGACTGTTTTTATTCCTGATGAGCCCAGGACGAGCACAGCTTAGATACAAATAAATTGTTTCTGTAGAAAAAAATGCCTTTGAAATTTATTTTAAATAAGTAATTCTTTGCTGAAAACAGACAATTCCGCAAAAACATTTAATGAGTAAGCTCCGCCTACTCACCTCTTCTATTCTACATGAGTTTGTCTATTCATCGTGAAACCAGAGGCGGAGCTTAATTTCAAATGAGGATTTTTTTGTGGAAATATATTTATTTTGAACACGTTTTAAGTAGCTGTTAATTGAATAAGTAGTGTTCATTGAAATTTGATGTTTTTTTAAAAAAAAAAAACATATTTTCGATTATTGATTACCATGGTAGAAAAACGGTGCCCCGCCCACCCGACCCAAACTCCTCCTTAATGATTATTTTAATTCCTCATGAGGTCATCGCGAGTGCAAATGAAATATTTTTGTAGAAGAAATTGCCTTTAAAACTCATTAGTCATTACTGAAAACAGACAATTTTGAGCAAGACATTAAACGAATAAGCCCCGCCCACTCACCTCTTTTAATATAGATGAACTTGTTTATTCATCGTGAAACGAGAGGCGGAGCTTAATTTAAAATGAAGATTTTTTTTGGAAATATATTAATTTATTTTGAACGCGTTTTAAGTACCTGTTCATTGAAATTTGATAATTTAAAAAAAAAGGTGTGCCTATTTATTGATTACCGTGGTAGAAAAACGATGCCCCGCCCACCCAACCCAAACTCCGCCGCAATGATCCTTTTGATTCGTGATGAGTTCAGGACGAGCGAAGTTTAAACACAAATAAATAGTTTCTGTACAAAAAAATGCATTTGAAACTTATTTTAAAAGATTTTTTTCTGAAAACAGAATATTCTGGAAAAACATTAGGTGAATAAGCCCCGCCCACTCACCGCTTTTACCCTATATGAGTTTGTCTATTCATCGTGCAACTAAAGGGGTAGTTTAATTTCAAATGAGGGTTTTTGTAGCATTGTCAATGTTTTAAACACGATTTAAGCATCTGCTTATTGAAAAATGAAGATGTTACAAAAGAAATAAATATGCCCCGCCCACTCGCCCTAAACTCCGCCTTACTGATCCTTTTTATTTCTCATGAGCTCAAATCCTAAGTACATCTAGGTGAACTTGGTTTTTTTAAATAAAACTACAAAATCAGATAATCCAAAAATTTCCAGTCATCAATTCTGTCACCTTTTTCATAAACATAATTTGTATCTCAAAATACAAAATGTGTGTCACCATTCTGCCACTTCATTGTGTGTCCATAATGTCCCATCAGTTCCAATTAACAACTTACCTGCTGTCCTCACGTTATCTCTACCCCTACAGTGCTGTAATAACCCCTCATTGTTCCAAATTTACGTGCTTTAATGTGGTTTTCCACATAAATCTAGTTCAAAGCTGCCAAACAATGACTACCTGCGTAATTATTTTGTAACACTCTGCCACCCCTCTACCTACATGAAACTGTCAGCAAACAACGCAATTAATTTCACCCCGCACAGAGAAATCAAACCCAGCGCCTTATTAAAAACACTTTATTTAAAAATTATATACAATTCACCTACACTTAAATCATATAAAACAATCTACAACATCCACGGTTAAAAAATAAAAGTATCACGTTCCGACTTCCTCAAGTAAAATTTCTTGTAAAAAGACATATAATTGCTGTGAGCGTCAACGCGAAAGCAGGCTTGAGTGCAAATCCTGCATTATAAAATCCACCGTACACTTGCAAGCCTGCTGTCTCTATACTTTGTTTACAGTAGTCGCCGTCGTACAACCATCCCACGAATTCCTGGGTTCTCAAGTTCTCGTTGCGCAACCAGTCTTCCAAGGGCCTGAAGTACTCCCTCATGGCACTCCCGTCCAGGCGGGTTTCACCAGTCGCCTGGTACAACACTTCCTTCCACGAAAGGGACGAACCCTTCTCCATTAATTGTCTGAAAAAAGAAAACTTTTTGAAAAAAAAGATATTGTGGTTTAGTTTTTTTCGCGCGTCAATCCACTGACCTCCTCGGACTCGTTGCGAAACGTCCTTGACAAAATTTCGTTACAGATCATAACGCGAACTCATCGAAAACAAACAATGGATGTCTGCAACGCTTAACCTATAATTTTTCGACAAGCGTTTTTCTTGTTCTGTAATAATTAACGACTGCCTAATTTATTGCATAAAGCGTACTTTACCGAAAACGTGCCATTACCGAATTCCTGTCTTACACAATTCCCTTTCCAAACCTTTGAGGTGATTTGTCGATAACCCAATTATTCTAATTAATTTGTTGCAGTTGCCTTGAGTTAGATCCAGAGACAATGATTGTAGAGCACAAGTTTAAATCAGGAAACGAAAATTTGTATGTTAATTTGCCGACTGGGCTAAAAACTAACGTGCAGGAGACTTAATTGCTTCCTGATTTGGGAAAATGTCAACGAAATAAGCGACGTACTTAGAGCTTCCTCTAGGTTAAGTGGGTTATTTTATTGGATTTTTGTGCGAATGAAGTTATTTACATTTGCGTCTTCGGTTTTGAATTAACTTTTGCGCTGAAGTTTATTTCATTTCCATTCAGAGGTGCAGAAATGGCTGGAAGACGGTTTGCACTTTTTGCAGCAATTTTCCAAGGCGAGGACTGAAAATAGGCGGAAAATTCATTCAGCGTTCGTTCATTAAGAAAAATGCGGGTTTCGAAATCGTTATCTTAAAAATCTAAACACTGAACGGGTAATTTTGCAATATGTAAATTAGGGTTTTGAATTTATTGCAACAAATATAATGAGTTGCTAATTAAATTGGTTGAATTTATTTTATTCTGCAGTCATGTGACGACCGTGACAATAAACAAAATTACAAATATTGTACTGACGCAACATAAAATAAAAATTTTGTATAATGTCAAATATCAAATCATGTGCTCAGAAAATAAGGCAAAAGTTGTTTTTGAATTTGAGTGTTCTGATAACGGACGGCTAGAGAAGCAGAAGCTGACAAAAAGAATATATTGAAGAATTTCGTCTTCAACCCAAGGTTAAAACTGATCAGAGAGGGTCATTAGAATTCTATCTCGAAATCTGAACTTATACAACACCTTTGATTTCTTTGTAGAGCTAGAATTGAAGGAAAAAATCAAGAGTTTAATAGAACTCTAGAAAGGTTAGAAAAATTTTTAGAAGAATTCTACTCAAAAAAGAATACAAGAAAGTAGAAAAACTTCAGTTCGACCTTAAATTATATACTTTAAAATTGAGAGGCACAAAAATTTGTTTCTTCCTTATCGGTTCATGATGGAAGAAAGAAGTTAAAAAACACGAATTTAACAACATTCTCCAAGAAAACAGAAAAAAAGACATTCTAGAACACATTTGAGAGCGACAATATAATGAAGAATTTGGTCTTCAGTGTAGAACTAAAGTTGAAAGAAGATTTTTATCCGGAAATGTGAAGTTATGAAAGAATTTTGACTTCTTCTAGATTCAACAGACTCTAGAGGCACTCCACAGATTCCAGATATTTTGAAAATGGTAAAAATGTTAATACATATTCCTAAAAACCTGTGAAATCTTAAACATTCTAGGGATCCTCTAGATATTAAAAATGCCAGAGATGCTGAGAGTTTATAAGTTCTAAAAATTCTAGAGACTCTATAGATTCTAATGATAAAAAGGATTCGAAAAGTTCAAAAAATTCTATATATAAGAAAGATTAAAAAAAATTAAATGTCCTGAAGGTACTAGAGATCCGAGAAATTCTAGACAGCTTAAAGATCCTAAAAATTCTAGAAATTCCAAAGATTCTATAACACCTCTGAGCGCTCTGAGGACTCTGAGTACTCGGAGCATTGTAAGTTCTAAAGAAGTCTCTAAAGACTTTAAAAACTCTAAAGATTCTAAAGACTTCAAAGACTCCAGAGACTCCAGAGGCTCGAAAGACTCGAAAGGCTAACAAGATTCCAAAGATTCCAATGATACCGAAGACTCCAGAGACTCCAGACACTCCAGAGACTTCAGAAACTCCAGAAACTCTAGAGACTCCAAGGACTCTAAGGACTCTAAGTACTCCAAAAATTCTAAAGACTCCAAACATTGCAAACACTCCAAAGACTCCAAAGATTCCAAAAATTCCAAAGATTTTAAAGATTTTAAAGATTGCAAAGGTTCCAATGATACCGAAGACTCCAGAAACTCCATACACTCCAGAGATTCCAGAGGCTCCAGAGAATGCAGGAGCTCCAGAGGCTCGAAAGAATCGAAAACACTCCAAAGACTCCAAAGATTCCAGAAATTCCAAAGTTTTAAAGATTCCAAAGGTTCCAATGATACCGAAGTCTCCAGAGACTCCAGAGATTCCAAAGATTCCAGAGACTCTAGAGACTCCAGACACTCCAGAGGCTCCAGATAATCCAGGAGTTCCAGAGGGTCGAAAGAATCGAAAGACTAAAAAGAGTCCAAAGATTCCAAAGATTTCAAAAACTCCAAAGACTCCAAACACTACAAACACTCCAAAGACTCCAGAGATTCCAAAAATTCCAAAAATTTTAAAGATTCCAAAGGTTCCAATGATACCGAAGACTCCAGAGATTCCAGACACTCCAGAGATTCCAGAGACTCTAGAGACTCCAAACCCTTCAGAGGCTCCAGAGAATCCAGAAGCTCCAGAGGCTCCAGAGGCTCGAAAGACTAAAAAGAGTCCAAAGATTCAAAAGACTCCAAAAACTCCAAAGACTCCAAATACTGCAAAAACTCCAAAGATTCAAAAGATTTCAAAGATTCCAATGATACTGAAGACTCCAGAGACTCCAGACACTCCAGAGACTCCAGAGAATCCAGAGGCTCCAAAGGCTCCAGAGGCCTAAAAGTCTCGAAAGACTCGAAACACTAAAAATACTCTAAGGACTCCAAGAAATCTAAGGACTCCAACGACTTTAAAGACTCTACGATCTCTAAGGACTCCAAAGACTCCAAAGAATCCAAACACTCCAAAGACTCCAAAAATTCCAAAGATTCTAAAGATTCCAATGATTCCAAAGATTCCAATGATACCGAAGACTCCAGAAACTCCAGAGACTCCAGAGACTCTAGAGACTCCAGACACTCCAGAGGCTCCAGAGGCTCGAAAGACTCGAAAGACTAAAAAGACTTCAAAGACTCGAAGGATTCCAAGGATTCCAAGTACTCTAAGGACTCCAAGGACTTCAAAGATTCCAAAGACTCTAAACACCCCAAATACTCTTCGGTATCATTGGAATCAATGATACCGAAAACTCTAGAGGTTCCAGAGGCTCCAGAGGCTTCAGAGGCTCGAAAGACTAGAAAGACTAAAAAGACTCCAAAGACTCCAAGGACTCCAAGAACTCTCAGGAATTCAAGGACTCCAAGGACTACAAGGATTATTAAGACTCAAAGGACTCCAAAGAGTCCAAAGATTCCAAAAATTCTAAAGATTCCAAAGATTCCAATGAAACCGAAGATATCAAAGATGCAGAAAATTCCGAAGATCCCTAATATTCTAAAGATTCTAAAGATTCCAAAGACTTCCAGGATTCTAAGGAGTCTAAAACCTCTAAAAATTCTAAAAACTCTAAAACCTCTAAAATCAGGTTTATAATAACTCCAGAGAGAGCCTAAAGATCCTGGAGATTGTAGTATTTCTAATTATTTTAGAATTTTTAGTGATCCTAAAATGTCCAAATTTCCAAAGACACCAAAGGTTCTAAAATTTCTAAAGATCATAAGACCTTCAGGAGTATGTAAAGATTCTAAAGACTCCAAAGATTTCACAACTCTTTTTTTGTTGGTTTTCCCGTGGAAGAAGTAAAAAATTAGAGGAGATTCTAGAAGGTTCAGAAGAATGTCTAGAAGGATTCTATTCGAAATAGACAAGCATAGAAAAAATTCCAACTTCAGTGCAATAAAAAATTTTCAACTTGAATTCGATATGATTTTAGAACATTTCTAGTCCTAAATAAGAAGAGCGAAAAATTTTGACTTCCTTTTCAACTAAAATTAAAGAAAGGAAGACATGAATTTAAAAGGAAAGGACGAATGACGAAAAGAACGAAAAGGACGAAGGACGAAGGACGAAACGGACAAAGGACGAAAAGGACAAAGGACGAAAAGGACGAAGGACGAAACGGACAAAGGACGAAAAGGACGAAGGACGAAAAGGACGAAGGACAAAAAGGACGAAGAACGAAAAGGATGAAAGACTAAAAGGGCGAAAAGGACAAAAAGGACTAAGGACGAAGAGGACGAAGGACGAAAAGGACGAAGAACGAAAAGGACGAAGGACGAAAATGACGATGGACGAAAAGGACGAAGGACGAAAAAGACGAAAAAGCGAAAAGGACGAAGGACGAAAAGGTCTAAAACGACGAATGACGAAAAGGACGAAGGACGAAAAAGGCTAAAAGGACGAAAAAGCGAAAAGGACAAAGGACGAAAAGATCTAAAACGACGAATGACGAAAAGGACGAAGGACAAAAAGGACGAAGTACGAAAAGGACGAAGGACGAAAAGAACGAAGGGCGAAAAGAACGAAGGACGAAAAGGACGAAGGACGAAAAGGACGAAGGACGAAAAAGACGAAAAGGACGAAGGACGAAAAATACGAAGGACGAAAAGGACGTAGGACGTCAAGGGTGAAGAACGAAAAGGCCGAAGGACGAAAAAACAGGCTCTTTAGACTCTTTTGAATTGAGTTGTGTGATATTTAAAACAATAAATTTGACCCCATAAATCTTTCAAATTCTTTCAAAAAAAGAAAAAATTACGTGGGACCTTCAAGATTATTTTAAATAGTTTCAACAATAAAATATCAGGCATTCCCAAAATTTTGTAAATTCATCCAAAAACAAAACACTGCTAGATTCATATACATACTAAACCAAAACATCAAGAACCTCCAAGATTCTTCAAATTCTTCCAAAATCGGAACAATAGGCCC